TTAAAGACGAATAAAGATTAAGAGATTTCTTCTATTTTCGGGGGGTTCACGCTGTCGTACATAACAAAGACAATAACAAAGACAACTATGCAGATAAATTAAACGTAACCAACCAACACTGCGAGCACAGTGATCCCCTGTGATCAAGATTACCCAACATTACATACAGATGTACAGTGCTTGCCTCCACACAGTAACGCACACACACGCACATTATATTATTTCATGTTTTGTTTACTTCCCAAAGACAGTTCTCTGGCAACAAATCATTTTCACTGAAAAGGGATGTGACCGTCACCAAGAACGTGTCCTTTTCTTGTGAAACCATCACACCAGTGTTGCACCATTTTGTTGTTGCAGTCTTGTTGGAAATATTAAGTAGTTACTTACTGACAAAAAGAACCACACATTCTCCAAACATTCACAATAAAAGAGAAGCGGTATGTCTCTATTACTATACCTAGAAATGTGTATTTCTTGGTTTTTTTCCTTCTTCTTAGTTTTAGTATTTTCTTAGTGTTACACCGACTAACAAACATTCTAGACAACATTAACATTATAGACATTCATTCATTCTTTTGCACATGTATACTACCTGTATATTGATCTTATACCTTATAATACTATAATAATAGTGTTCGTTTGTATAATATGTCATTTTGTTAGTCTGGAGTGTTGTTAGACGAAAATAATTTACAACCTGGGATTATTAAGTATTTCTGATTCTGAAACCACAATTGCTTTTTTAACCTTCACTGATCAAACTAACATTAATTATGTCACCTAATAAAATTACGGAAAAACTAAACTCCAGAACTCCACAAATCTAATGATGCTACTATTCACATCTAGCCGCAGAAACCCCGTCATTAATATATAGTCTTAGAGTATTAAACAACAAAAAGAATAGGGACATAAAGTTGGCTGTAAAGTTCATCTTCTCTACTTCTGCCCCTCCTATACAAACTGTAAAACTCCCTTCCCATTCTTCGCTGCAACAGATGTTGAAGTAACTGTTCAATAATGAACATCCTCTTGTTTTGATGTTGTTGTCATCTGGCGGAATATATTGTGTGTCACAACAACAACAACAACTGACTGAACACAGGGTTGAGTTGATAACTGGAGGATACATTGTTCCCTGTATTCCTTCAGGCTCCTGCTTTTTCCTCAGCAAGGAGCAGCTGCTTTACATCAGACGCTTTTATAGTTCACTTACGCTAATTAAGCTGGGATGGCTGTCAAAATACGGCAGATTCACCACATGAATACAGAGAGGAGCAGGACACAAATAGGGTTGTGAGTGGGCTACGCCGAGGTCCAGCACTGGGTTAACACAGTGTGGACGCAGAGTGACACCACCTACAGACAGGTGCTGAACTCTTTAGTGCACTGAGGTGGCATCTTCTCATTTCCCTAAGCCAAATCAGCAATCATGGTCATGCTACTGGAGAAGTTCATTTTGAAAGATCTTACAGCACATTTATGTATTTGCAATTGCACTTTGCATTTGACCACAAAAAAAACAACCACGTAAAACAAAAAAAAGTAAGACCATTTGACGTGTTAGGAAATGTAAATGTACTCATATAACACCTTTCTAGTCTTCTGGCCACTCAAAGCGCTGTACACTACTTGTCACATTCACCCATCTTCACAGATTCATACACTGATGGCAGCGGCTGCCATGCAAGGTGACAACTGCTCGTGAGAAACGCAAACTGAGGGCATTCACACACATTCAAACACAGATGCCCAGCACTGGTTCAGTATCGTGCTCAAGAAAACTCTAACACGCAGCAGCCAGGGATCGAACCGCCAACCTCCCGATTAGACCCGCTCTACCTCCTGTGAAGTGATTAGCTAACCAAGCAATTACTTCAGCGAGAACCAGACAAAACTAGGCACAAATAACTAAGCATTGCTCAGTGACGTAAAGATAAACTCCACCCTCATCTGTGTTGTAACTGCGTTGTGTGTGAAAATGAATTGACACCATTTGATACTATATAAAAGCACAATACAAAACAAAGCTGCTTATTGAAACCATTGTGCCCCTGTGTTTATACTAAACAAAGTAAAAGGTATATGTATAACTTGGGCTTACCTCTCTCTGCTTGGTCTCGGGGCACTCAGAGTGCAGGGTAAGAGTAGCCCCCTCTATGTTGCGTGGCATGCGGGTGGAGCCTGGATTTATTGTGAACTGGATCTGGTCCGGAGAAATGGTGTGGTGCACATAACCTTGTGACATGCCATCAGGGTCTGTCATGAAGGCCAGAGAGCCCTCCTCCTCATCTCCATCACCTTCCCCTTCAGTCAGGAAGGTGACCCCGTCTTCGTAGCCCCCACAATGACCCTCCTCTTCGCCTTCCTCATCCAGCCGGATGGGGTCCCGCTCAATGAGCACTGTGGTGCGGTCGTACACCCGACCAGATGACGATGAAGACGCAGGGATCAGGTCGTCGTCTTTGTCAAAGTGGATTTTGTCTTCTTCTTCTTCGTCGTCCCGCTCCAGGGGATCCACCTCCACCTCAAAATACATGGGCGCCTCTGTATGAGGGCCATTCTCGCTCATGGTCCCTGGTGCCTTTTCCTTCCTTGGCAAGGAGGACTGCACACTCACACTGTTAATGTTACAGCCTGAAAAATAAATGGGCAAAATTATTTACTTTTTCTTAGCAACTGAGTTAGTTTATACAAGGCAAGGGAAGTTTGTTGGTATATCAGACATAAAAAGGCAATAAAAGGTCCAGTGGGTAGGATTTTGTGGCATCTAGCTGTGTAGTTGCAGATTGAAACACTCTTGCTTCAGCTTCTCCTTCCAAGCGCAAAGGAGAAACTAGGCGGCTGTAGATAGAAACAGCTCATTCTACGGTAACAAAAACACAAGGATTCCTATATTCAGGTGATTATACACAAGTGAAAACATACCTATGAATATTATATTCCATTTCTGCCAATAGATGCTCCTAAATCTTACACACTGGACCTTTAAGACAAGACATAAGAGAACCACAAAGTGTTACAAAAAAAAAGACACACAACAGGGTTTAAAATGCAATAAAAAAGGAGTAAGAAAATTCAGTGCAAGATGTGATTTAACTGAGAGACCGAGCAGACCTCCTGCTTTCTGGGAGGCTGTTGCAAATATGTGATACATAACAACTGAATGCTGGTTCCTCATGTTTAATTTGACTCTCCAACAGTAAGCAAACCTGTCCCTAATGACCTGAGAGGTTTGGACGTGTCCTAACATAGCAGTGGACCAGATGAGTGACCCCCCCCCACCCCTAAGCGATATTGCCTCAGCTTGGCCATTAGAAAAAATATGTTCATCCAAACACCTAAAAAACAATGCATCTCGACAGGCCTTTGACAGAGCCTCAAATATATCAACCGTGTCTGGAGAGGGACAAACTAAAAACCAATGTAAATACTCCTAAAGCAGACTTTCGGGTGTCAAATGAAGGTTTAAATAGTTTCCAGTATTGTGTCGTTGAGGGCAAACTGACGTTAACCGACGGGGATCTAGAACTTTCTCCTTTCAATGACAGAATCACGAGACAGCAGCGGTTGAACTCAACGGTTAAATTAACGGTCGTGTTTGATGATTGGTAATCGATAGAAACTCCTCAGGTTAGCTTTATTTTTTTTTAAACAAAACGTAACGAATAAAGAGGGAAACACGGCCACACTCACACTACTACCAGTTAACTTTTCCATACTCGACATGGCTGTAGCTAACGTTTGCGACGCTGCGCGGTTTACAAACACAGTGGCCCTGATAAACACGCAGTCTCCCCCGTTTACCTGACAATGAAGTAACGGTGAACCGCGTTAATGTCCCGGTACCGAGGTTCACCGTGCACGTTAACGACTACTAACCTGACGTTATTTCACGGAGTAACATCTCGGTCACATCGTCGCTAGCCACAGAGATATATGCAGCTAAAGCTGGCTGCTACAAACAGACACCAAACCGCAGTCACTCGTTAGTTGTATTTAATGTGAAACAAAAACGTCTTTCGCTAGTCGCACTCCTCAACGCGACGCGACTCGGTTGCAGAGTTCACACAACGACGCACTTGTGTTTCAGCTCGCTCGCTAAATGAACGTCGGGCAGTGAACTATCACTTATTGCTCTTCACATGCATAGCTTTTGCTAGTTAGCAACAATGTAGCTCCGTAGCTAAGCTAGGGAGCTAACCGTTAACGTTAGCCTGTTTACTGTCGACATTTGACACAACCTACCCTTCCCTGCAGGGGTAACAAGTTTCATGCCACCAAGGGTTACGCTGGCATTCTTACGCCTGAGCTCGTCGATTGAAAGGCGGTGACATTAAAATATATTTACCTGTGTTTAAAATGTGTGCTTTGGATGTTTAGCACTTTCTTTCTATCCCCTCCCTAGGATACCACACAACGTCACACTCACGGCCATTCGTGATGAATTATGGGAAATGAAATATCAATACTGGTGCTGAATTAAAACATGAAACGCTTTTTTTGTTTTTGATTTAACTTTTTCACTTTTTATGTGGCAAGTTGGATTCGATCAGCTGAGTGCGGGGATGGGTCGTCTCACATAAACATTGGGAGAAAACTAAATGTGTT